AATGACTGATATTTTATTTGTAGGCATCTTAAAGGCCTACTGCTTTTCTGTTGAAGGTTACCTTAACACTTTTGGTCACCATCAAAACAAGTTGCCATAAGTTAAATAGAATCCTTAGTCAAAGCTAAAACATTGTATAAACAATATATTATTTAGGTCATGAGAGAGAATAACCTTTCAAATATTTACAGTTCAATCTGCACTGAATAACAAAAGATAAACAGTATTAAAATATTTGTCTATCATACCTGGTGAATTTAAAAGTTGATGCAGTAATTTGGCAATTCATCTTCTTGTTTACAATCTTTATGAAATTAATGTTTTTAGATGTACCCAGTTCAATGGATTGTGGATGGTTTGTGTATAATTGTGTGTATTGATGTAGTATTTGGGGTAAAATTGGAGGCCAATGAAAGAACTATAGCAGCATCAACAATGTATCCTCAACAACCTTCTGAAAATTGCTGTTTTATTCATTTTGGAACTAATAATAAAATACATTTAATGCCAAAATTATGCCTTCTATCAGATACTCAATCATATGATTTTTCAGATACTACTTTACATAAATTTTCATTTAAAGCATTGTTAGATAATGATAAAATAAAATATTTGTTAAAATAGTTTCAAATATATTTTCAAATATTATTTTGTAACAGGAGAACATTATTACATTAAAACTGAGACAGAGCCCTGCTGACACATGTTTCGGCTACTCTAAATTAATTCTATCAATTGTATTTATTTCAATTATATTGATTGTTTTTTGTTCTTTAACTGTATTTATAGTTTGATAGAGAGTCTCTGATATGTTCTTTCAGAAGTCAGAAAATGTAAATATCATAACTCTGTGGTTATTCAACAACTCAGAAATTTTGCTTTAGTTTTACAGAACACTAATGGATATAAAATGATTAATTAAACAACAAAAATTCAAGATATCACACAAATTATTGCAATTAAAATATTTCTAGTAGGTTTTGTTATGAGAAATCATTGCTATGAGTTATAAAAATCTGAAATTTTAATTGCGTGAATGTATCAAATATTAATATATCTAGATAAAAATTGAGTGAAATAAAACATCAATAATAGGAATTTCAAGAAAATTTGAATAAAAATACTTTTTGCTGACAATGTTAAGAAATTTAGATTGCATTCTCCTGTCTAATGCACTAAATTTAAGATATCATTATTTCTGCAAGTGTTTGACTAAAAGGAAAAATTCATAGAGAATGTTTATTTTGAAAATTTCTTATGAAAGTTTGATTTGAATAACCCTGCTTTTTCAAGACCCTCAAATATAAAATCTTTTGTTTTGAGTAAGTTCGTAGATATTTTGTAGTAAGGCAAGAATCGGGTATGCTTTCCTGGAGAAAAACATTATTTAAAAAGATATTTGTGGTGAAAGAAATCTGCAGATCTCTTTTTACAATCAACATTGAACAGTTTTCTTTGTAATGGTGGAAAACATTGAATTTGTATTTTGTTTATTTACTGCTCAGATAAAACAAATTAATTACATTATAAATATATCAATTTACTACAGTGAACACTTGAAAAAGGAGCAGAGAAGGCCTAAAATTAACTTTAAAAATAGAAAATCTATATTTTTCATTTAATTCCACTTAGAAAAGAAGCTTTATAATATTCTTCTCCTAATAAGAGAAATGATAGATGAACTCAACATCAGATACCATCACTATGATTTCATCATAATTTTTTTCCCTATTTCCATTGACTGTGCTTATAATGTAAGGTATGGCTAATAATTAAGTTAATGAATAAAATAAGTAGACAAAATTATAGAAAAAGCCTCTTGAAGAATGTTGAAACACTAAAAATTCAAGAGGAAAGCAGAATTTTTCTTCTACAATCATTTTTAAGAGTTTCATTTCTGAATTGCCCAATGGACTGAGATCAATAAATTAAATAAAAATCTAACCTCGCATTCAAAAGAGATACATGTTGGTTCCAGAATTTCCTGAGAAAAATACGTGCAACTCTTTTGTTTCTTGTGATCAGTGTTTGAATGTTATCTCATTTGAATTGAATTTTACAGACATTTGTGTTGAAAATGATTTGAAAATCTGAGCACTTATTCAGGAGGCATAACGCGATATCACATAAGCCTTGAGAACTTTCTCTTCTGAATATACTGTTCATGTAAATTCCTTATCCAATTTTGACCATCAAAATAATGTTCCAAGCTGGGCCATGATCTACATATGTCTAAAATAATTATGAATAATCAATTGAGCCATATGAAGAGTTTACTCTAAAAAAACATTACTTTCATTTTTATTTTTGTAGATAAGTGAATTATATTTTTGGTGATGGAAAAAGTGATGCAAATGCAGCTGGGGTTTCAATTTCAGTAGAAATGTTCTTTTGGGGTCATCCATAAATTACATGACGCAAATTTAGAACATTTTGAATACCCCCTCCCCCTATGTATTGCACCTGTAATCCACGTTTGAACCCCCTTAATAATTACATAACAGCTTCAAATCCTGCACCTTCTATCTTTTACAAAAGATAATAATAAATTATATAACAATGAAAACAATTTGTATTAATTTTTTGTTATATATTAACATTAATGATAATTAAAGTGAGAAATTGGCAATGCTGACTGCTCCTAACAATACGATTTGGGGACAATTTTTATGTGAGGGAAGGAAAGAAGCATTGGCAGGAAAATTTCATAGTAGCGTACACGTTGTCATGGAGGATGCATGAGCGAGAATCTATTGCATCAATTGTATTCCAGAAAATACTATTGATCAGTTTTGAATATTTTCTTCATAATCGAAAATTCAATCAATATACCATTGATGAAAATATATTTTCAATTATTGTAAATATTTATACATGTAATTTTATAATTAATTTATATTTTTTAATTTAACTTGATGAAAATTTAATGCCTAAGTGTAAGACTGAATAAAGGGAATTGTATCAGCAAATGTAGAAAAAACTAGCAATGTAAGGTAACACTAAATCAACAGCCCCCTACCCCCATATAAACACAGCATAATGCTTTCTCAAACACCCCTCCCCCTCCCCATTTTGAGTATTATGTAATTTACGGATGTAACCTTAGGAAGTAAGATTAATACATATTTTGAAGACAATAAACTAAAAACTTTAATAAGTAAGTAAAGGAGCTTGCTTAAATGGGCACATGCAAGATGAACAAAAGGAAATATAAGAAAAATGTTCTAAACATTTCAAGTTGATTTATTCGTAACTGTAATAGGCAGTAATTAAGTCACTGGAGTAAAGTTTTAAAATTGTTGTAGCTCTTATTTTTAAATATAAGATTTGGAGATTACAATTATTTTGTAAATTAACTTTGCAATAATAAGTTAATATTATTTGTTTGAATAAAGTTTCCAAAATTAAATTAAACTTATTGGTTACTTTATTCAATGGTACTGTAGATACAGATATTTGTTTAAAGAAAATATTAGAATTGAATTTAATTAAGAAATATTTTAAAACTTTTTGTCAAATGTGGAAAAGCAAAATGGTTATTTTCTTTTAGATTTCTCGCTCGTTGTGGTATAATTTCAGAAGGGAGTATGTTAGGTCAAAAAGTCAAAAAATACTCGTGGATATGTTCCTTACAGCTCGTTTTAAAAGACATGGCAATACGTTCAAGGATGTAACGCAGTACTTACAATAACAAAGAAGGCTGTAACTTCGAATAGTTTCCATTTTTGGAACTTTTAATTAGGTAATTCTGTATGCACACGTTATTCGAAGAGGACTAAAAGTTTGCTTCTGGAGTTGTTCACAAAAAAGAGAATACTGTTTCTTTCTTCTTCCTTTTTCAGTTCTTTCCTGTACAAACGGTGATCGTGTCTGCCATTTTTTAATGAAGATTACTCCTTTCAAGGTCTGCAGCTTGCGAGGCGCAACGTTGCGCTTGAAAAGGTCCACTTGACGGATTAATATCATTCATTAAAAAGCAAAACTAATTGAAATTATTTATTAACTGACCGACGTGTATCTACGTTAATGTATACATAATATTCTTAAATTTATTATTACAATCGCCATACTATAAAAAGAGTTCCGTAATTAATATAAAAAAATATGATTTTCAAAAGCAATTGATATTATAAGCTGTGCCCAGCATGTTCAGGGTATACAATAAAACGCTTTAATGTGTTGGGAACAGTGTTATAAATATTGCGAGAGGATAGAATTGTTAATGAGGAGGAAACCTTTTTTGGTTTCCGGAATGGTTCCGGAAAAAAATGCCTGTTAGCTCAGGTGGTCGCTGATTCGAGGTATCGGGAATATGAGAAGCGTTCATCCAGTTTAAATTTTGTTTTTTATGAATTGTATGTTTTGCTCGTTATCACATTTTAATTGCACTTTAAGTACAAAATAACGGTACGATTTTTGCATTAGCGCTCATCGACCAACCTTTACACTATAAATTCAAAGTAATTCAATTTCCAGCGCTATTGCATTTTGCCACACCTGGTTGTTTGTTTTCTCGTTTGTTGACGAAATTTCCCACTAGGTTTGAAGCTGCAGTTTGCACCCTGAGGAAAATTCAGAGCATTTATTATGTGAAATAAAAGCCTCGCAAGATAAATATTGTTTTAAGTAATCTGACGAAATGCCCCTAATAGATAGATACCAAATCAACAGTAATTTCCGGCAGACTTGTTTCTATTACTGAATTGCGGATCAAAATAACAATTTGCTCAATAAATTTTGACCGTCCAATACAGTTTAATCTATAAAATGTTCTGGTCGCTGACCGCCTGTTCAGTTGGCCACTCAAAAGAGGGAATACGTACACATGTTTTATGGGATAATCTTTCGATCCCACAAAAACATGATCATTCATCGAGATGGCTGTTACCAGGTTTCTCTATAGTTGTACTATAATCTATCTACACGGAGTAATCTACACGTAGTTGTGATAGTATACAATATGTTGTTCCAACTGTGTTATACATTGTTTCGTAGCGTTTCAACGTTATTACGTAGTTGAATCAACTATGTAATAAGTAATCAAATAATTTTAGTTATGGAAGAAAAACATTAAACACTACTACGATTTAATACTTCTTCGAATAATTATCAAATTAAGTCGTTAGGCACAGTTTGAATATTAAAATAAGATGTTACGATACAAATATCGTTCAACATTTTATTCATTTTGAAAAATTCCAATGTGCAATGATTTTGACTATCCATCCTGCAAAAGGTGCCAGTCTGATGTTGAAAGTAGATAATGGAGATCATGGATTACTATAATACTTGTCCTATATAATATTTATTATGAAACTGATCTCAGTTTCGTAAGGTTTAGATTTAGATTTATTCAGTAAAAAATAGTAAACACTGTATGTGACGTAGGTTTGACATTACGTAAACAAAGTAGTGGTTACAAATTTCCCCTCTCCTCTTTCGATTTCACAACGGAGCATTCAACTCTTAAATACTTTCTCGCCTTTTTCACTTGCTCACCATCTGTGTGCAAACATTATTTAGTTCCAAGATAAAAGATTTTATTCATACTTGGCTAAATACCATTTTTTTATTCCAGACCAACCATTACTTCGCTTAAGATACATTATTTTATGACATAGGCCTAACATTTTTCTTGTTGCGATTATAGTAAAGATAATATTTTGTATTTTCATAACTTTGAAGGATGGCGCGATAAAACAGCATTTGAACTCTTGTAAATATATTAAATGAATAAAATGTTATATGAATTTAAATAAGTACATCTTACTTTTATGAGTCATATATTTTAGAAACCACATATTTTTCCTTGTGTCACACGAACTATTGTACAAGAAGGCTCAGATAACCTCCCTTTTATGAGTACAAAATGTGGGGGAAAAATAAATTACATAATTTATGCGTAATGATGTCTATATCCCCATTGCTTGATGTGAGGATTGCAGTGTAGAATATTAAACGTACTATGCTTATCGTTTATTGCACGTACTATATATTTTATTGATTATGAATTGTTGAGATTTTGCAGATCAACTTGTGTAAGTAATAAAACGGTTGATCACCCACCTAGTCCATCATAGTAAAGTGTTTCCTACGTAATGATTATTCACCATAAAATGTTTCCGAAATAATTTACAAAGATTAAATAATACCGAAACAATTTCAATTAACATATTCAGGCGGGAGCAAGGGGATTTCGAGAGCAAAACAGATAAAAGTGAGGATGGCATGAGAAGATTAGAAACCTACCCTCAACATTCCATTTATTTTAGCTGCATTAAGTTCATACGTGAGTACAATATGATATATATATATATATATATATATATATATATATATATATATGAATAAATGTCATATAGGTTTCTTTTCGAAGTTGTGGGTCTTAAAAGAATGTCATCAGTTGGAATCGATATTGGCCCTTTTTTCTAAAACAAGATTAGCAGCTGTATTTACATTTCTTTATATTGTTGAATTTTCAGCAGGATACAAAATATGCTATTTTCACAGGTTTAAGATAATTCGCACATTTCCTCCTTTTTCTCATGATTTTTATTCTTTGCTTAAATGTTCCATATTCTTTAATTATACGATTTACACTTTAAATCGTGGGTCAATCGGCAAAGTCACAAGTGCTGACAGATGCTCGGTATTCTCCTGCCATTAAAGCGAGTGAAAATCTGTTTTTTCCGGTCTGATAAATCTACTTCCTGTAGTAAATTTCTTCCTATGACACCTTGTGTAGTCAGAATCTATGTTTTGTGGGTCTTTGATACCGAAAAATCGATTGATG